ATCTCTCTCTCTCTCTCTCTCTCTCTCTCTCTCTCTCTCTCTCTCTTCCTCACACAATCCCTATTCATTGATTAAACTTTTGATATTCCAACCGGAACCGGATTAATGATCTATTGTCCAAAAGTCACTCCATTCATCGAACTCTCAATACTACCCAACTAAAAAAAACCCACCGAACAACACCACCGACCCAATGGCCTCATCCACCGACATCTCCTCTATCCCAACACCGGCCCACTGCACCGCAGACTTCTGCCTAATCCCGGTAAGCTCCGAATATCTCCCTTCCAGAACCCTTCCATCAGTCCCGACAACGCTGCCGGCAAAAACCAACACTATACATGCAACCCGACCACGCAACATGTGTCCTCCATGGGATCGTATCAAATCAGACCATCCAACTAACCCAGAACCTGCGCATTTGCTGTCCAGATCGGCACCTCGTCCCCGTCCGTCTCCGCCCAAATCGCTGACGTCCAACGCCTCGTCGAGAAATCCGGCCTCAAGTACGTGATGCACAGCGCCGGCACGACGCTCGGTATGAAATGCGATACACTGATTGAGTCCCACTCATGATGCGTTGTTTGTCCTCCTGGTATTGGTCCGATCGCGAAGCTGACGGCTGTGTTTGTGGCATGTTTGTTCAGAGGGGCCCTGGGACAGAGTTCATCAGGTTATTGGACAGGCGCATACCGTTCTGCATCAGCAGGGGATTGTGCGCATTCAGACGGATGTCCGGGTTGGGTCGAGGTTGGTTTCTTTTCCTTTCTTTCTTTCTTTCTTTCTTTCTTTCTTTCTTTCTCTCTCTCTCTCTCTCTGGGGTTTGGGGTGTGATTTGTGGGGGTGGGGTGCTGTGTGCGCCGTCGACCCCTCTTTGCATCGTGGTGCGTTGTTTGTGGTGATGAGGGCTGATGTCGGGTGGTACAGGACCGATAAGGAGCAGTCGTTCGAGGATAAAGTGAACAAGGTCCGGGAGTTGTTGGGGAAGGAGTAAGTGGTTTTTGCGATTATTTCCTTCTCCCGTGTTTTTCTCAGCGTGGGAGGTAAAGGTCTGTTTCGGGTATATTCCATTTCTAGGTAATATCTGACGCTTGCTACGTACATGGCATGGTATGGTATGAAGATGGTTGGGATATATGGACAACACAAAGAAGGCTCATCTATATTCAAAGTCAAGTCATGGCTCACCCAAAAACGCCGATATCCTGTGTTCCCGTGTACATGTGACTTCTCAATAATATCGACAGCGAGGCTAATCCGTAAAATATGTCAGCCTCGAAAAGCAACAGCGCTGATTTCAAGCCTGTCCGTCGCCAATTAAACACTTTAACATGGTGAAAATGGGGGATGAAGAAACGAGATGGACGGATGTCGGAAGCGTCTCTTCCGCTTAGAGCGTGATGCCGCCGCCGAGCAGGCTGCCCCAATCGCCTCCCACCCAGACCCATTCGCCCATGCTGGGGTTGGAGCCCAGTTTGGCGCTCTGCACCAGTTCAACCAGTCCCTTGAAGACGTTAGAGTAGGTCGAGGCACCGCTGGTCTGGGTGGCGGCCGTTAGGTTGGTCCGGCCCACGGCATTGGTGACGCCGTTCAGGTTATCGACGGTCTTGATGGCGGGGCCCTTGTCGAAGAAATCAACCAGGATGAAGGCTGGTTGGCGGCCGTAGGCTTCCTTGCACTTGGTGGCTGCGTCGCCCAGGTTGCCGGTCCCGCCGGACGGCGCGTTAGTGGTCGACACGTAGCTGGAGTTGGGATACTCCAGGGTGAGAACGGTCTGGTAGAGGAAGTGGTTCATGAAGGGCAAACGATTCGACGAGAGCGCGGATGACAGGTCATTCTGAAGGCTGGATGGACGGTCGGGGTTGCAGGAGAAGTTGGAGGGGTTCGTTACGTCGTAAGGGTTCTCCCAAATGTAGGTGAACTCATCCATGAGGTACGGGGCCACCGTATTCTTGGACGCATCCAAGGATGCCACAAAGGTCATTAATCGAGTTCCATTGTTGATCAGACTTTGCAACGTTGGCCACGAGCTCGGCGCGGCGGTCTGGGAGGTGGGTGTGTATGCGTAGTCGACGATGTCGGCAGTTTGGAATTGCGAATGGAGATCAGAGGCAGAGGCGTCGTCAGAGTTGACCAGTAACAGCGTTACCACTAAGAATGGGAACCGTGGTCAGCACCAGTCTTTGATTATCGGCCAACAGTGAGGCAAGGAGGGTATAATATACACGAATAACATACCGTCGTTCTTGTTGGAATCCAACCAGCTTTTGATTTCGGACAACCATGTGCTCAGCTTCCCTGCGTCCAGCAACTCACAACTAGAATGACATAAATGCCACTCGCTATCTTTTTTATGGACTTGACCCGAGATCAAGCGAACTCCGGCGTCGAGCTGCACCGTGGTATTGAAATACCTGGAGCAAGGTTAGTAACAATAAGCAGGGGATACCGGAATCGCCCTTGGTGTCACACGTACTGATTCCCAGACGTCGAATAGCCCGTCGAAGCATCTCGTACAAAAGGACTGTCATGTGCACCCAGATGAGTGATCTCGCCGTAAGATTTCGAGCATAAATCCGGTGAGTTATTGCATGCTGTTTGCCGCGGGAGCACCGTTCCGGCAGCAGCCAAAGGAAGCACAGCTAAGAGGCCAAACCCTAGCATATTGACAGCGGCGTGATATGTGATGATAGCGATCAACGACCAGGATGAGCAGCGTCAAATATGCAACGGCTGCAGTGGAAAAGGGAGAAGGAAGGGAGGTGGGTGGAGATGTACTATGCAATGAGACTATTGATAGGACTAGAACGTGATAGTCCGTGCGATATGGAGTAGTACTGAGGTCGATAAAAAAAATAAAGAGATTAAAGAGGCTTGTTTGTTTCAGGGAGGAATCCCGTACCAGTCTATGAATCTGATACAGAATTGAAGAGATTGAGGACTACGATCCAAAGAAACAAACCCCACTCCTTCAATTCCGATAGATAAATAAGAATCAAACGTTCACCCAAGGCAACAACACACCGCTAGTGGATCTCCACTGGGAGGCCTCAGACGCATGTCGTCGATCGGAGGGTGATAGTGGACCATGGGGACGGTATTTTATTCGGGATGGACACTGCTGGCCGCGTTGCCTCTGCGACTATTCTTAGAAAGACAAGGCTTTTGTGACGCGCCATGCGTGGCTCAGCCAACCAATTAACCCTGTTTTGCCGTTGCTGTGGTCCCGACCCTTTCAGACGGGTGCTTGGCATCATTGAGGTATTCCTCATACTACGACTAGCTAGTAGTAGTAAAATGTCCTCCACTGTTGCCAATACTGATTTGGTGGTTCAACTAGGGACTCCAGTAAACGTTTGTGTCGGAAAGAAGAAACATTCCAGTGAACAGGTCTGAACATGTGCAGGAGAACATTATCTATTGCAGAGCAGGAATTTATCATTATATCATACATGCGAGTCCCGGTTGGCACTACTATTATACAATTCTCTCATCCGAGAATAACCCGCTCCCTGAAGGTAAGCTGACCTCATCTTCTTAACCCGTCTCCGCCTCGTCCGGTTGGGAGGGTTTACCAACCCTTTGGTATCGCGAATCTCCCGGTCCCCAAACAAAGATGGCTCGCCCCAGGCAAGATTGATGTCCCCGAGGACTCGCGCCACGCTGTAGGGATTTTCGTGCCGCAACATGCGGTTCATCCGACGATTGACCAACCCATGCCGTCCGTAGAGTACTGCCAAGCGATGTCGGCAAGCCCGGCGGATCCATGCCACCGAGAGGTGAACTCCATTTTTTTCCAGTTCACGGAGAAGGACTAGACCGCGTACCCAGGGGATCAGGCTCTCATACGGATCCCCCTGGGTGACCATCCACTTCCGCTGTTGAGACACCCGCGTCCTAAAGCCCCACGCGACGATAGCAGCCTGCATGTTCTGACTGAAGATCTTCCGGAGAAAGCGGTCCCCATGCTGCTGGGCCAGACCGCCCGTATCGCGTTGTGATTTCTTTGGATACGAGACGATAGATCGAGTAGTATTTGAGTTGGAAGAATATTGCCGGGCTAGCCATAGACAACATTTCCGGAGTTCTTCCCAAAGGTTAAGCATCCCTAGGCGCTTCAGCACCTCAACCCAGAGCTCAGTAACCGCCAGGTCGCCGTTAGAGGTACCGTGCCGCAGGGTGTGAGAAACAAACTTGATTTCTCTTGTAGCAGGAATATCGTCGCGCCGAGGCGGTTTTCCTGGTGCACGGGGGATGAGAACACGTTCAGCGATGAAGTCAATGCTCTCTTGAGACAGCGTCGCGCCGCGTAGGGCCATGTTGTCAACAACTTGAATCGCCATCTTCCACTCCCCGGCCGCCAAAAATTTCCGAAAATGAACGTTGGCAAGGTCCGATTTGTCCTCGAATATCTGGCCAAGAATAGCCAAAGTCAGGTTGTACGGACGCCAGTCGCGAGCAACATAGTACGATAACAACAACGACTCTTGCAGCTGAGCGTCCTCTAAGACATCCGGATGCTGGTCACTGTTAAGCAGATCGGACAGGAGGATATCACGGTTTTCCGTCGCTAACTTGTGAAGGAGGCGTACAAATACACTGTCGCCTACGGAAATCCCTGCTTTCTGAAGCTCCTGGAGCTTATCAGCTATGTCCTGGCAACCATGCGCTCGGGTAGCCATCTCGCGCAGTGACTGAGGCCCGATGGTCGTCACACCGAACATTCGTAATCCAGAGAGAATCATTTCAAACCTAAGAGCTTTTGTAGCGAACAGTCTAGCACCGAAGTCATCCTTGAAAGGCTTCTCCTCTAGCCAGGCTTTTCCACGAGATTCTGACTGTTGGTCCTCTGGCTGCCGTGCCAACTCATCTCTTGGGTCAGATTCGTCTTCGCTGATCGCTTCGACCTGGTCGGGGAATCGAATGCTAGCATAGCGACGGAGCTTCTGAATAAGTCCAGGAGAGCCACACTCATTTGTGTGCTCGATCAGTGGCTGAATGTCCTCGTAGGACTGCGGATGGTCACCCCGCTCGATAAGAAGTTTATGTATTCGAGGGGCATAGTCGATGTAATCACTCTGTAGCACGGTGGATATGGCTTGGCTGTAGATTTTGTGACCGTGTGTAGCACGGCATATACTCTCGAAGGCCCTTAGCCCCGCGGGTATCAAATGACGTTTGGGCTTCCACGGGATGGTAGATGCAGTATATAATGGGTTGGACGAATTTATAGCCGGTTTGAGAACACTTAGGACGTCATTCGGACAGGGCAAATGGGGATCTCGAAGCCGTTTGTGCCATTCCACTGCTTGCTGCGCCAAGCCACGTTCGAGGAACCCTCCCACGATACTCTCGTAGAACCTGTCCCATCGCCTTCCTGTTTTGACCCATAGCTCAAAAGCATAGTCTGCCAGCTCCTTCAGTATAACTTCCTGTTTCAAACCCAATTCCACAAAGCTTTGCCAGAAAAAGTCCGCTGTGTCCCCAGAAACAGGAAGCTGTACTCCTTCCACTCGGGTCATTAAGCCCTCCCAAATATCCAAAGTGCCTCGGTCTCCATAATGCCGTTGTCGGTAGCGGAGCAATTCCTCCCAGAGAGCGAAGTCGTGTCGCCGGTCCGGGTCGTCAACTAGACGACTTCCTATGTCATTGGTGTGTCCTATATCCGACTCGAATTCCAGTTTTTCCGGCTGTAATAATAAGCCCCGTGGTGAGTCAGCAGCATATATGCCAGAAGATACATCATTTGTCTGTCCGCTGTTCCTCGATTGTGCCTGTGGCGCTTGTATCTCATATACACGAAAACTAAGCGGTGGTCGCGCAGGTCGTGTACCAAAATCAGCACTAGTTATCTGTTCCGATTCGACCGGCTGTGCGCTTCGGCTTTGCCGTGAGGCTTGTCTGTAGCTTCGTAAACACTCGCATTTGTATCTTGATTCTAGCTGTTCAATTCCAATGGGCGCCGATATTAAAGAGTCGAGAACCGAGAGAGCTGATGGTCTCTTCAGTAATCGAAGGAGAGCCGGTCGCATGAGTGATGAAAAGAGAGTGGTGGGGAAAGAGTAACTAATATTGTAATCATCCTCCTCGCCTATGCCTCATATGCCGAAATTCATCAGGGTCGAGGAGTAAAAGGAGTGTCTCTAATCGCCTCTGAAGCTCTTTGATATCGCGGACACTTTTTGGCAATGACGGAGACCGATAATGCGCTATGCTCTTCTAGGTTAGGCTTTTCAAAAATCACATGAGAGTCACCCTTTACTAAGCAATGCACCTGAAAGGCGGAGCGATCAGGAAAATCACGTGATATTTGACTCCCAATTCGGATCCACACCTCACGACATCGAATGATCACTGCTGCCAGTCTTTCACCTGCCATTGTCGTCTCTCTCTCCTCAATCCCTTCAGTCTTTCGCATTTGCGCACCGCCAAAATGTTCCGCACCGCTCCTCGTATGGCCGGGTATGTACTTTTCAATTGTTACCTCATTTGCATATCCGCGCACAGATCCAACAATTGAGTCCCGATCCTCCGGTGAATTTGATGCTCAATTGGCCGAGTCATGCCCAGTCGACCCCCGGTGAATACAGCTTAAGCTGATATCTCAATTTTTGCTCCTCTAGATTCGTGTTCCGTGAGAACCGTGTCCCTTACTACCAGCGTCTTTTCCAGCAGCACGACGGCAAGCGTCAGTGGTGGAAGGTTAGTTGATCTACAGATTAACCGTGTACGATATGTCGGATAAGAAAGACGTCCTAATTACTTCAATTGCTACTTAGACCGAGCGTAGCAAGTACGTCATGTACCCCTACCTCTTCTCCGTCTACGGTCTGGGTGCTGGTGAGTGTTGTCTGCATATTTTGGATGCCTTGTTTAAATGCTAACTTTTCTTAGCTACCACCTACGCTATGATCCGCATGGTCTTCGTAAGTCACCCTTCTGCTCCTTGTGCTATGCGTGGCTTCCTAGTCAAAGCGCCCAATACATTGTGCAACTGTACTAACATTGTATACAGGGCCACAAGACCTGGTTCGGCAAGGAATAAATGGGTTTCTCGTCAAGCTACATTTGTCATAATAAACAAAATAACAACATTGTTGCGATTGGCGGTGTATCTCTATTTTCAAGATGGCTTGGTTGAGAGAAAGATATTCAACGTTGTATATAAGATAAGCTAGGGCGTCAATGTGTGAATTCTTTCCTCAACTCAATCCTTAACTATGCGCTTGCAGGCTCGCTGTATCCATGGATAGACTATAATGATCTTGGATGATACTTATATCCAGTGCGTTTTTGAAGAAGCCATTCAGTGAGTATCTGTCGTTTTGTGTGCGGGCAGCACTTGTGCGGCGAATCTATCTATATAGCAGTAGGGAATCGGTTAGACGAAACAATTACACCTATGTACATATCTTTGTTTCGTTTGTACATTTGGAGAGAGTGCAATGCCCATAGCTATAAACACCTATCAGCTGACTTCGGATGATTTTCGAGAGCTTTGTAGCTTAGTAAGCCATTTCGGCGACGATTGCATCCAATGGATGTTGATCGGATAAGCCACTGCATCCATATCAATCATGTTCACTCGATATAGAAAGCGACAAGCATCGCAATGTACATATGACTTTCTTGCGTAGTCATTCTATACTTAACACATATGAGCTATTCTCACTCACATGTTTCGTTTAGTGGTCGAATATCGCACTAAGTCAAGTATATATTGGTATGCTACTCCACTTTATATAAACATCGGGTACCCTGACAGTGCCTTGCAGGTATTCATACCATACTAACTGCTAACGGAAATGAACCGTACATCTGCTGGACGGCCAGCAAAACGAGTGCGCCAGGCATGTGAGCCATGCAGGTTAGTCCACCAACATAATTATACATTACAATGACTGAGTTAAACATCAGGCGCAAGAAGGCAAAATGCCCCGGAGAACAGCCAGTTTGCTCGCTGTGCGCACGGCTACAGCAGCAATGCGCATATGCCGAAGAAGGAAGAAGATCACTACTAACAAATGGATTTGGGTCTGGAGATCCAGTTCCTGTGCCAACTACTCCGGAGATAAGGATTTCCCAGGCTTTGGTAAGAACCGATCCGCTGAAGTCTCTAAAAGCAGGTCTGGTAACATACGCCACAGGAGGGCCGCCTAGGCAGCCTTGAAACAAAGATGAGTGAGGTTCTGGATGCTTTAGGGTACGCCAACCACATTACGGCCCTACCAGGGAACTACTAACAGTTGCATCAGCCGGAATAACCAAAGACCTGAACAACAGACAACAACGTCCTTTATGCCACCTACCCTTGGTGGCTCCGTAACATCATCCTTATCACTGAGCCAACTCACACCTCTTCCGACGTGGGAAAATGTCCTTGCTATTGCAGAGCTGTATCTGCTATACTGCGACTCGCAGCCTCTCCCTCTTTTTCATAGGGACAGTTTTCTCAGTAGTCTAGGAAACCGTGACCCTGAGGTTATTTACGCCATTCTTGCCTTGAGTGCCCGATTTGCCGAGGATCAATATCGCGACGCCAATGATTTAGCAGCTCGCACCAGCGGTTATACAGAAGTGGCCCGCAGTTTAGTGATGAGACGGGTATCAGAAGGACCTGTGGAGCTATCAACCTTACAATGTTTATGTCTTCTGAGCTTAGTGGACTTCACAAGTAAGATATTTGTTCAAAATTGACTTGTCTATGCTAATTGGACTCATAGATGGAAATACTCATCGCTCGAGTATCCACAGCAGCCTAGCTATGAATTTAGCACATTGTGCGAACCTCGCATCGGAGTCTCATCTTGTACTCTCGCCCGCGGCGCGAGAAGAGCGCAGGCGATGCTTTTGGAGCATCTGCCTGCTCAAGCGCCTTCATGGAATGGAATTTGACTATATGGATCTCCCAGATGGCAGCTTCCCACCTTACCCAGAGAGTCCTAGCATGCCACAGTCTCGTTCACCAAACGACATGACTGATGGAGCTCGGACTACTGATCTCAAAGATCAAGGCATAGTGGCCTATGTGATCATGCTTAGTGAAGTATTTGCGAAGACTGCTAGGTATGTCCGTCGTCACGGGAAGCCAACCAACGTACCACCGTGGTCTTCACAATCCGAATACTCCAAGATTATCACACTTCAGATGGACCTAGAAACGTGCGTGCCGTATATCCATCGATTCAAGCCCGCCAGCCTATCTGAAAGGACGTTCGAGGATCTCCAAGCAAACCGAAATTATTGGGGTCCATTCTTCCTAAACCAGTGCCTATATCATACCATCTTATGTCTCCTCAACCATCCACTTCTACTTTCCCTGGGTCTTAGAAATTTCCGAAGCACTATCCCTGAGATATTCCTGCAACATACCTCCGACCTAATATCAACACACACCACCTGGATAATACACTTTATCAAGTATTTTGAAGAGAAGTCGTTCATGGTCTCAGATCCGTTTCTGGGATACAGCGCTGCCGTTGTGGCTACGATTGAACTACAGCTGAGCTTTACCGAAAACCCTACAATTCGTCAAGAGAAGCGTGATCGGTTTCTCATATGTGTCGGCTTTGTACAGAAGCTGGGGGAGAAATGGCCGTATATGGCCCGATTGGTATGTCTTATCCTATTGATTATAGATAATAGGCTAAGTGAAGTACTTGTACCGCAGGCCGACAGATTACAACGTTTGGAAGATGCTGTCTCTGCTTCCTACCAGCCCGAATCCGGAGCTCAAAATAAGAGTCTACTAATAGATCTCTCTCGCTTCTGGGAGATCCTCGAATATTCTTCAAACAGCGACTCAGATTCTGCCAGACGCATGTTCGGCGACTCTTTGTATTCGGAGCCTCCCACATTTACGGGAGAAGTGTCTCAAACATCTCCCCTGCCCGAACCATTTCGACTCGGCCCCCAACAGGGACTTTCACCATCTCCAATGCCACGGTATAGTCTTCAAACACCATTCCCTGCAGGCCCGCCGTATACCATTGAGCCAGGAAATTCACCGCGGCCTGATGGGCTAGACGACGAATTCTCTATTCTTGCTGCAAACTTCTTTTCTCAAGGACAAGAGTTCTTACGAAACTGTGACAACAGGACGGAGATCGGAAACTTTTGATGCTGCAGCGATTTCTCTTTCTCATTTTCTTTCAAATTTAGATATTTGTGTATTCGAATCATCCTCTTGCACTCGTCCTGATCAGTCGGGCGGGTAAAATGTATATGAATCTCTTAGAATAGCCACCGGCTTGGCTACATTGATCAGCTGTCTTTTCTTATTCATTCATTCATTATATTTGGTCATTATATAGCCCAATTGCTCTCTTATATTACAGCTGACTTGGGAACAGGCAAACAGAAAGCGGCCATGAGACCAAATACCACAGGCGGAGGTTGATGCAGATTTCTCCACATTGTGGTCCCTACTCACGTCTCAGCAAACACTGGCGCGCATTTCGAACTAGCCTTTGGTTTAGTGTACGTGATCTTCGCAACACCGTCACTGATTTTGCGGTTACATCAAGGCACAATTCAATTCTTCAGTTCTGGTTCGTCCAGTGCAGCCTTGAAATAGCTCACAAACATCCATACGTCGGTAAAGGTGTTGTACAAGGGAGTAGGGGCAACGCGAACGACACCTGGCTCTCTCTTGTCGCAAACTATACCTCCTTCTTGCAATTTCTGGGAGACGTTCTGCAACAAGCCGGGCTTCAGTAGTAGACTGAGTTGGGCTCCTCTTGCCTCGGGGTCTGCTGGCGTGATAATGCGGAAAGGGCGTGTTTCGTCAGTGGTATCTTTCAGCAAGAGATGCTCCAAGTATGCCGTTAGCATAACAGATTTCTTGCGTAGTTCAGCCATAGATGTCTCGTCGAAAACGGACAACGAGGCGCAGAGACATGCAAGATCGATAGCCGAAGGATTCGAAAGTTGCCAACCACCTGCTCCGGGAATTGGCTTGAAATCTTTTTGAACATGTTAGCTCTAACCGCCTTTTTGGTCTTCCGCTACTTACTATTGTCCATCTTGAACCTCACGCTTCTATCACCACCGTACCACCCAGTCAGACGATGCCGAAACTTTGGAGCGTCTTCTCCTTCGCTATAATCAACTCGACCGTGCCTCTCATGGACAAAAAGGCCCCCCATTGCCCCAGGTCCAGCATTTCCATATTTATACGTGCACCAGGCTGCAAAGTCGACATTCCAGTCATGTAGTTTCAGCTCAGCGTTGCCGTACGCATGCGCTAAGTCCCACCCAATAGGAAGATTCCGTGACTGTGCATAGGCTGTGATCCTTTGGATGTCAAAAAGCTGTCCAGTGTAGTATTGGATCCCTGGCAAAAGAATGAGAGCTGCACTTTCAGCATGCTCGTCAATGTAAGACAAGATCTTTTCTGTGGAGATCTCGTACTCGCCCTCGTCAGGGCCAATGAGAACCATGGATTGCTTCGGGTCGAGATCGTGCCAGGCCAGATGAGATTCAATGGCATACTGCATTGGTATTAATACGCGTGGGCTAGAGCAGGTGGGTCCGTTGTCAGACATGAAGTTCTTATACTTACATGATCGCTGGGGAAAGCCTTCCAATCTAACAGAATCTTATACTTTGTTGGAGTCGGCTTATAGAAGCTTGCAAGCAAGAGATGAAGGTTTGCAGTTAGGGTTCCCATTGCTGCGACTTCACCTGCTTGTGCTCCAACGATCTTACTCATCGATGCTGCGGCTTGTTCCGAAAGCAATTGCCACTGTTTCAGAGGAGAGCCCTCGAGATCTACAAAATGACCAGATACACCAATTGACGACCAAGTATCTAACTGTGCTTCCAGGTATTTCGCCGTGGCCTTTGGCTGAATACCCAGAGAGTTGCCACAGAAGTAAATGCATGCGTCTGGTGAGAGACCTAGGAGGTTGTCAGACGGTATACCGTGCAAAAGAGATTTTGAGGGCAGCCAATACCTGGCTTCGCAAGCTTCTTGCTATTGATGTTTGCCTTTGAAGGGATAATGAACTTTTCACGGAATGATGCCAACGGGTCTGCTGCGTCAAGAGACGCCGCGTATTCTTTTGACCCTGCATTTTCAGGGAAAATCGGCTTGGACGACTTGACGTTAGACATCGTGTATGGACTTCGGTAACTTTTCAAGAGTTTTATTAAGAATGAATTTCTTGCTAATTCCGTGGACCACAGACGTGTCTTTATACGTCATTGTATGCCATTTGCAACTCCTCGTCCTTCGGTTGCTCAGGCCGGATGGCTATCCGCTTCCGCCTCACATCCGTGTTGATAATAGGACCAGTCCGACAATACCCTTCTTCGTCAGGGGACCCATACCATATTGCGCTCCTGTAATTATTCCTGCTGACGTGCATATTGTACTAGCTCGGAGTGTGTACCGGCCTTTTGATGTTATATTCATAGATTGATTGAGCCGGAAGCCGCTTCTTGATCCGGCCCTTCTTCCGCCATACCCTCGATATCAGACCATTATACGTTGATAAACGTGTATAAGAATTCACTGTTTCTGAAATCAGTTGGTTGTGCTAAAGGCAATTCTAAGGACAAGACTTCGTCACAGGATATCGTTTCTATCTACAGCACACCATGCGCTATACTCCTGAGGTTTCACTCGACGAATATGGGGTGTCACTTCAGAATGGCTTCCTTCCTCATTCTCCCCCATTGAAGACGATGGAAAATCCTTATTACTGGCCGTGGGAGCATATTGTTAGTGACCTACCGAACCATATCCGATTCCGAACTATAAGACAAGCTGTGGAAGTACTTCCTATTCTTTCGACGTCGAAGCTACAAGGAGAGCCAGAGTGGAGGAGAGCCTATCTTTTACTTTCCTATCTTACACATGCTTATATCTGGGGTGGTGAAAAACCGAAAGATGTAAGTCTCACTACTACAGAATCATCGGGCACCTTTTTAACCGGACACACAGATCCTGCCCCCAGCTATATCCTCACCATTCCTCGAAGTTTCGAGTCACTTAGAACTCCCTCCTTGTGCCACCTATGCAGCGCTTAATCTATGGAACTACGCAACCTCCGATCCCAATGCAGACCTCACAGACCCTGATCATCTCTCAGTGACAGCCTCATTCACCGGAACCAAAGACGAAGAATGGTTCCTAATGATCTCCGTCGCATTGGAAGCAAAAGGAGCACAACTTATCCCGTTGATGCTCGACACAATCCACGCCGTCAGTATTGATGACACTCACCGTGCGTGTGATTCCCTCCTCGCACTCAGCGAAGGGCTCAAGGAACTCCGCAAACTACTAGAACGGATGTACGAAAAGAACCGCCCCTCAGTATTCTACCACCAACTCCGCCCGCTTCTAGCCGGTAGCAAGAATATGGCCTCGGCCGGACTACCCAACGGCGTCTTCTACGACATCGGCTCAGGCCAAGGGAAATGGCATCAATACAGCGGTGGAAGCAATGCACAAAGCTCACTAATCCAGACATTTGACATATTCCTGGGTGTGGAGCATATAGCTACCGGAGGCATGAAGACTAATGATGCAGTTCAGCCAAGAGCTAAGAACGGATTCATGCAGGTATGTATCACCTTTGAACCCCCCCCCCCCCCCCAAATTAGCCCGAATCAGGACTAAACCTCTTCCTCCTCGCAGGAAATGAGAAACTATATGCCCGGTACTCACCGACGTTTCCTCGAGATGCTTACCAGGGTCTCAAATGTCCGTGCTTATGCGCTCAGTCACAAGGCCAACTCACCAATCCGAGATGCGTACAACACGGCTGTAATGTCTCTAGGGGTCTTCAGGGACTCACATATCCAAATTGTCACGAGATACATCATCATGGCGGCGAAGACGAAACCGCTATCCAGTGACTCCACACAAGTCAATTTGGCCACATCGACGACAACCCATATGCGAGATAAAACCGAGAAGCTTACTGGGGGGATCCATGGTACGGGTGGGACAGATCTGATACCATTCCTTAAGCAAACTCGAGATACGACTAAAGCTACCGCAAGTTATGATTAAGCGCCTACAAACCTATTGTTGTTTGTTAATATAATGTACATATTGAGGAGCCTAAGTGCAGGCTTGAGACTCTCGGGATTAGCTCTTTTGCTGTCTTGGAATATATCTATTGTCTGTTCTATAATTGAAATCGATTAATTGAAGACTTGAACGCTATTTCCTTTGGATATACTCGTTCGTATACACGGGACCCTTTATTGCTTATTTGCGGTTCAGCCCATTTCCATCTGGCCTGTTAGGGTGCCGCATGAGGTTACGTACACTACGTGGACCCCCATTGTGATTTTCAAATTGCATCACACTGCCCGTTTCTGATAAATGATCCGTGGTATTCCCTGACCTTTCAAATTGGCCCACAATTGTCACCCGATGTTTGGGGGGGTCCATGGTTACCTTCGGGCCCGGAGACGGAGGCGGATACGGATGTGCAGGCGGAGTTCTCTTGCACTTAGGGTTGTGATTGCTGATAACAATTAATGCTTACGATTAATGAAAAGTAAGCGGTGGGATAGCGTAGGGCCCGTTTAATCGCTACTTTCCTAGCTAAATTAATTACTATGGATTACACGAGCAATTGAAATCAAGTGACTCTTGCAGCCTCTAGAAGATAATATTAGACTATTCATTAGGTCGTCTAGGCCATTTCTGTACGTAGGTTCAGTGAATGGTATGGGCTCTCCTGGTTGTTCCCATACAGGAAATGAAGGACGTAATCCGTTCTGGAGAATATTTGGGTATAAGATACCCATTCTGGTACACGGGCAGGGGCGGTCAAGTGCCCTAGCCGTCGGCGGTCACATCTGATCGTATCTTCGCCAAGCTAGTGACTTGCGAGCGTAGGTGGCGCCCCATCCAATGTATGTGCATCGTATTGCTCAGCGAGCGAAGTGTCTCGGAGACGCGGCATGACTCGGAAAGGAAGCGAGTGGTGTCTTTATCACGACATTCAAAGCAGACGCGGAGCTTAACGCTTCTTCGTGTTGGCGGGCACTCCTTCACTCTCGCGCAGTTCAGTTAGCCTCTTCTCACGCTCAATAAGTCGCTCCTTCTCCTCCCTAATCATCTGATCCACCGTCCTGCTAGCCTCCCCCAAGCGATCTAATTCCTTGTTCTCGGTTGCTTTACTATAAGGGTTCCCCGGAGAGTCATTCGGAGGGATCTCCGCCGTCCTGACATTGCGCTGACCGCTTTGCTTAGTGTTCTTCCCCCCCTTTCCTTTCTGCGGTTGCGCCGACGGAGCACCCCCCGTAAGCAGCTCATGGAATTGCTCCACAGGTTCGTTGAAGACAATCTCCTCATAGTTCTGGCTGATAACTTGGTCTCGTCGCTCCTTCATGGCTTCCGCATCTGGCCCGTACGGGTGCAATTTGAGACTGTGCCAGAGAGTCTGAGGTTTCTCCATCGACTCCGGTACGAAGTAGAGTTTGATCTGGATCTCGAATTCACCCCATCCTGTTTCCGTTACCTCGAACGGGGGCTGTTCGATGGTACGGATGTTCTGGGCGTATGTCTCGTGCAGCTTGAATTGAACCTTCTTTAGCCAGTAGGAGATGTCTTCATCGTTGACGCCTTTCACGTAGACGCGCCACTGATGCGTGTGGTCGGTGGGGGCGTTGGGGGGTTTCTTGGCTGGGTCGAAGGGTTGAGCTTCGCTGCCGAATACTAGGAATGGTTAGAGTGCGTTCCATCGATTAAAGGTCGGATCAGTTGGATGTAGTCGGCGGTTAGGATGACGTACCAAAGGGCCTGAAGATAGAGACACCCTGTAGATGTAGTCGTTAGCTTGTAGTTTCCTTTTGGGAGGCAATCCGTTACTTACCCTCACGCGCTTCGTGCCTGTGGCGGAAGGCATAGCAGAAGGTGATTAGTGAAATGCGATCGCCTTGAAGAATAACCTAATGTACTGGAGAAAACGAGAAAGAAGGTTGATGAAGCTTAGACGTGCGCTAGAGTGCCTAGATCTTATCTAGTCTTGTCGCGAAATCACCGCGGGAATTGCCAGCTGCACGTGACAGCGCGGAGGGAATCATGACGATGGGGTGTTGTCGGAAGCGGTGGTTCCAGAGCTTGGAAGCTCCGAAGATCAGACCAGATGCGCTCGCAATGATCTACCGGACATACTTCTGATTTACGCTGGTTTTTCCTATCGCTTCAATCCCTAGCGTTAAACAGACAGAGAAGAACGCGGAAAATGGCTACGAAAAGGGTAGTGGTTGCGGGCGGAAACGGTTTTCTAGGTTGGTATACTTTTCTACTGCAGTGTCGGCTAGGACTTATAGATCGCTGACTGTATTTTTTCTCTCCTCATTTGCAGGCTCTAGGATATGCAGGTCTGCGGTAGCCAGAGGCTGGTCTGTAACTTCTCTCAGGTACGAGTTCTTCCAATAAAACCGAATCTGATTGTCCGTCGAAATTCATACTTTGTGTCGCAGCCGGTCCGGAGAACCACGCTGGGATGCGATTTCGAGTTCGCCCGAACGCCCTAGTTGGGCGGGCTCTGTAGAATGGGCTAGAGCAGATATGCTGAAACCGGAAACCTACAAGCCTTTCTTGAGCGGCGCTACCGCTGTTGTACACACCATGGGTATTCTCCTAGAGGCCGACTACAAAGGCGTGGTGCAAGGAAGGGAACCCATTATTAGTGGCCTACAAAGGGCCTTCAGCTCCTCGAAACTGGGCAGCCAAAATCCCCTACAAAGGCAGGAAGGCGAGCCATTAACAGCAAAGGAAAGAGATGGACAATTGACTTATGAACTCATGAACAGAGATTCTGGTCCGTATATGCTATACAGTATTTTGAAGACAGAGTGCTGACTGAGTGGAACACAGCGATTGCCCTAGCCCAAGAGACCTCCAACGAGCATGTTCCAACTTTTGTATTCATTTCCGCCGCAGCAGGAGCGCCTGTTCTTCCGAGCAGGTATATCACAACCAAACGAGAAGCTGAAACAACCATATCAACGAGAATACCGGAATTGCGGAGTATCTTCATCCGAGCCCCATTTATGTACGACTCAAGCAGAAAATTTACATTGCCAATAGCACTTGGAGGCTTCATCGGGTCTCAGTTCAATGAGCTCTTGGGCAATAGACTTGATTTTCTCGGCACAATGGTAACCAAACCTTTTCAGGTGGATATGGTAGGTGAGGCCGTGGTTGAGGCGATGGAGGATGAGGCCGTGCGTGGTGCTGTAGGAACGAAGAAAATCGAAGCTCTGGCCACGAGTGCTTGGAGAAAAAGCATGCTATGAGTTCAACTTTGGGGAAATAAGGTAATACCAGTTCCTGGCTACTTCGCCAGGCTGTCAGGTAGTAGCCTGAGTGATTGTCCAATTTAAGATCGCAGGCCTGATAGTCCTAAACATGACTGGACGCTAATCGGCAAGCCCTGCGCTGTATTATAGATATAGTCTCATGTATTCTATCAGATCATGGTACCGCGTTCGAAGCTGTCACGAATTTCCGTAGTGTACTAATTGACTATTAGCCAGCGATCCTGGTCAACCAGCGATTAGGCTATAACATACCTTGTTATAAAAGCGCGCCAGCTTCTGGTTAAATTGCTTGTTCTTTTCGTTGATGTAGGTGACATCGGCGTCCTCTTCGCCGCCACGGCGTTCTCTCCGCTTCTTGAGCCGAACTTCTTCTGCTTTTCTAAGGTCTCCCACCAATTTATCGACAGCGGCTCGATCAGGCTTATTCTCAGTGAAGCCTACTGTATCGGCAGTGGAATAGAAAGAGCCATTCTTATCGACGGCGATCATTTCACCATCATTGGTTTCCACAATTTCCAAGTCGCCATTAGCAGCAGCCCTCTCGATAGCTGCTAACTTCTCTCGCTCGTAAGCTTCTAAGTCTGGCTGTATCTCGCGCAGTTGTCTCTTGTAGACTTTGCGTGCATCTTGTGTATAGTCCTGGAAAGCGACATCATCCCGATGGCGTTGTTTTTTCTCCATACGCTTATCCCACTTCTCGGATTCGTCAACCGTCCAATCCCATGCGCGTTTCCGTTCAAAATCTTCACCGGCGGCTTCCGTATCGGCTTTAAGTAGGTTGTGTGACGCAAACGCATGTTTACGAGACAATGACGAAAGCAGCGATGGATCGGTGGCTAGACGTTGTGTCTCGGCTGCTGTTTCCTTCAAGTTGCGTTCGGTCGCAGATTTCTATATTCAAGTGAGCTTGGGAAAGGGACCATATGAGAAATCTTAGGCAACAAAGCAGAGGAAGAAAAAGAAGAAACATACTGCACGAGCTTGAAGGGCCTTGAATCTTTCCTGTCTCTGGCGCGCTTTGCAGTCGTATCGTCTCCTTTCACGGGATCCGCTACCATCGATGAACTTCCTGAAGCTTTTGCGCCTTCAGATTCTTTTTGACTAGCATTGGAATCTTCGGCGGCATTATTTGGTTCCTTAGCTGTGACAGAAGCGGGCTCATTGTCGTCGGAAACCTCTGACGCAGGTTGTTTAGTGCTGCGCTCGGTAGGCATGATGGTATAACACCAGTGCAGCGGTTAGTGTCGGACGGTGCAAGCGGCGGTAGATTATTCGAAGACCTTCAGCTTCAAGTTGACGTCTGGTTGTAGATAATCGGAGATAAGATGGGAGATTGAAGAACAGCAGAAGCGCGAGATCGCAACCTTAACGTTACGATGGCTTTTCCCACCGCCCATTTCACCGCCCGTGCTCCGACCCCCATCATCATTTATGTGCTTTTTACCATGATAATGTTCTAGGCACAAAGCGTGCGACTCTAAAGGTGGCCATTGGGCATTGGATGTAACCAATGTCCAAACGCTTAGATTATCGTTTGTGGCTAGGGCCAAGGCGACGACTGCGTTCCCGACTCTCTCTGTCGCAATCATCTCTCCGACATGCCTCGGGCGATGCCAAACGGGGCGCTCTAGAGTCACTCATCAAACCCACACCATCTCAGCTATTTCGATTTGCTTTGACAGGGAGTACACAACCGGTTCATAATGGAGTACTTCCGAAAACAGCCCAGGACAGACATCTAGAGGAACTCTTTTCAGAGGAATGGCCTTTGAGCACGTCACCTCCTCCACCTCTGTGGAGCTCTCTCCAACAAAGAACCCTAGCTCCATGTAAGACAGAGGTGTTACGAGGTATGAAAAAAGATATTCGGAATCTGAACCACCTACGCTCATTGATTGAAAGAAATGTCAACGATCCACTCGGTGGGATGTTTTTGCAAACAGGGCATTGTAGGTTCCTAGCCCAGGCATTAGAACGCTGTGAGCGGTCTAATGCTTATGGAGAAATACTCTCAACCATTAATGGGATCCTCATGAGGCTAGAGAAACTAAGAGCACCCGTGTCGCCTTCACTATTTGTTATAGGGATGTACTATTCTTGTCTTGCCTTCTCGGCATCAGCTCTGAAACGGCACCTCGAAGGCTATATTTCCCTCCGTCTCCCGCGGCTGGATTTAGAGTCGTGCGCTCCCCTTGTGGACGCTCTTCTCGTTTCCCTCAAACTTTTGCCATTCCAGGAGCCAGGTCATAATACCAGTGAGATGCGAAGTATAGTCACGGGAGAAAGTGCTGGTGGGGGCTTTTCAGAGCACAATTTGCACAGTATAATGTGTTGGGCCGATCATCATGATTCAACCCAATCCGTTGGGCCGTATTTGTCATTACTCGCAAGATTACGGAGCGACAGAACATTACAAGACGTATGGGATCGGACGACGAAAAGACTACGTCCTGATTCACCTCATACTTTCCAGTCAGCTTATGGCTGTGTGGAAGCTCTTGTCGAGGTTGGAAGCCATAGAAAAGCTGTAACCTATCTCAGACAGATATCAAAATGCGCCAATGGTAATCTGCCTGGTCTATCTAACTTCGAGGGTTTAAGAGGTCTCCTCGCAGCCGAACGAGTGGCCAATGCAATTCCGCAGCTTGCGGGGAAGGAGTACACTAGCATTCTTGAAGCGCAACTAGAAGATATGGAGAAGAGACTCGGAATCACTTGGAATAGACGGAAATCAGTCCATACTAGCATCTCCAATCCGATCTACATCAGTTCTGAACAACCACTCCTGACAATCGATGGCGACAGTGCAGGGTATGATAGCAGTACGCGCCTAATCGCAGAGATTGAAGCACTCGGATGCTCAAAATCGATGCTGGAGCTAGAAAGGATCGCTAACCTGTTGGACGAATTTGAAGGGGATCAGATTCATATCCCCATACCGTATAAGGAAGCTGCACCTTATGACTTCGCTTGGTTTCCTCAGCGGTCCCCGATTGAGTTGCCAAACAACTCTTTGCCAGTAGGAATTGACCAGTCTAGTGCGCGGCCGTCCTCGGTTTTGGGATTACTTCGTGTCAGGCCACACAGCCATGGGATATCCCTAGTGCCTGAATGTTGCCTACATCTGATGCAGCTTGGCTACTTGGTTGCGAGACCCAAATCGGCCCAAACTTGGGAAGAGACAGGCCATATCGTGACTTGGGACCGTACCTTTGGTCGATTCGTTGCCGTTTTTGTTGGGAAATGCCGTGGAGCTCTAGATGCTGAGAAACAGTGGATCGTTCCAAACCCATTCTTTGGCCTCGATGCAGTTATGAGGATCTCTCCTGGAAATGATCTACCCGACCAGAAGGGCATCAACCCTCCATTTGGACATTCTTACCCAGTGTACTATGTGGATGCAGACCCAGGGCCAGATCTCGTATTCGAAACAACAAGCTGATCCCACGCGTTGACCCGTACTTGATAATACCCTGGGATATGAGAAACGCACAGGCCTCAATTACAGCCCCATAGACCGTCTAAGACTTGGAAACTAATGGACTAGTGAACCCAATCTCAGCCAGCCAGTAAGTGGCGATCTAGATCTCCTGCGGCATCTGCGGGTGCAGTTAGGATTACGGCTGGGTAACCGCGCATAGTGCCGTGGAAATACCATGACCTTTCTACTCGCCCAGAGGTTTACAAAATGGAGATGGCATGCGATCTCGTGGGGCCTGACAATCTCAGCCATTCATTAACATTGGCTTTAGGGATGCCTCCTTTTGGGACCCTTTTTTCGTTCTTTCTTTCTTTCTATTTCCGTAATGATACCCGGGGCTTTCTGGTGTCGACAAAGTGGATCGACTCTATTCTCTCGTATATACTGCCAGAAAAGAATACAATCACATGCCCAGGTGGTATTGTGGAATGATGTCATTTTGTCAGTGTATCAGTTATTTCCATCAGTTGAGTTGCGTGCCAGCATGGTCAGCTATGCCGGAGGTGAACACGCAGTAGACGACATCTGGTTTTGGATGTATAATATTATTCTTGAAGCGGATTGTCTGTTCAATGTACCCATTTGAAACGCAGTAAGACCAAAAATGGCCATTTGTGGTAACTTGCTAGATCCAGGCAGACTTGCAATGGAGAGCACGCTTGATTTACTCCATATAAGTCACTTTTATGTAATGTAAGTATATACTGGAATCTGTGCCTTTGATTCTGAGTGGCGCGACACCGTGACTGAGACCAAAATGCGGTCAAGAAAGGTTTGATTTCAATGTCTTCGAGATTTCTTCCCTACATCCTAATTGAGTGGAAATTGCCCAGCAGGAAGGAAAGGGCGGAGAAGTCCGAGCTCACATACATATGCCAGCCATACATATAGACTATACATTATCAGTCGGCCAGTGACCTCATAAATGCTGTGTCACCCCTGCTACGCCCTTTAAATCCCGAGTGAGCATAGACCTCTGCAAGAACAGGGGGCCCCCACAGCGTTTTGTTGCCCTGTGCTTTGCAGGTGGCGGACAAAGTGGGATTTATAGACTAATTAAGGACTTTACTGTCCATCACTGTGGGTCGGTACGCATGTTAAAGCACCTGAAAACCTGGAAATCAATAGATTCGGTCCTGCAGACCTAAACGTGATGGGACACTCCCGACAAGGAACGGCAGGCTGTACACAGTATAGCACCTTGGCGGCCCATCTCCTACATATTGGGTCACGCTCAGGGGGTCATGAGCCTTAGGTTGAATTATGAAATGGCTGAAGCCCTTTCTTACCCGGTCTATTTACGTGCCTTCCGAACAGGGGACCGGGCACCTCCATGATGCAGATACAGAACGCCATCGCCGTGGACTTGTACTCCAATACATGACCTATGACGTCCATTCGTCCTTAGACATACCGTCATACCCTGGCACAGCCTTGGGTGCCATGTTACCCCCATTGGAGTAAAAAATGAAAAAGGAATGAGTGCACGTACTAG